GGGATGTCTACATGACTTAATTTGGAAAATAAAATAAAAACAACTATATAAGAACCTCTAATAACTCTGCCCCCTACCTGTCAATCTGCATCATCACTGCTGCTCTCTGGAAGAAGCCAACAGCGAGACGTTCATCCTTGGCAATGGTGTAGTCCAAAGCCTGGACATCACAGAGGGGAAAAAACAAGTTCAGGTTGGACACAAACAGATAGAAGCATTACTATATGCTTCCTTTTTTTGTTTTTAGCAGCGGTGACATCCAGACTGATGTGCAGTGGAAAATAGAAGGTACAGTTTTAATATATTGCTCAAAAGAAGAGTTTTGGTTTACTTTTTGCTGACACTTTGTATTTACATCTTTTTAATTCATCAGCAAGACCGCTACTGTGGACTTTTTGACTGATTACCTTACAGTGATCCATCAAGTATGCAGCTGTAATTTTGCTATAAATGGATTTCAGTCCAGATCCTCTGCTGCTATTTTCAAGTCAAATAGTTCATCAAAGTGGCCTTTCTTATAAACTAAAGAGCTATAGCAAGTGTCATGAGGGAGTTGTAACCTTGAATTTCTTATAACTAATCTATAAATCACAAGTTAATTATATATTAACCCTTTATAAAGCCATTACATTAGTAATAACTTATACACCTTTATTAGACAATGCACACAGTGCACCAGCAACTTTCTGGGTTGTAATGAAAGTTTTAATTAACAAAAAAATAGTGATGTCTGACAGTCTGTATCACTTCACAAGTATTGACAGTGTCTCCCATCAACCAACAACACACAGACCTTCAGGGCCAGGTCCAGCTGTCCCAGAGCCAGGTGAGCCGAGGCAGCGTTGAACAGAGTGCGAGACGTGGGTTCACTGATCTGCTCCAGTTTGGCCAGAGCTCCTTCCCAGTCCTTGGCGTCCAAAGCCTGCACCGCCTCATTCCACAACTGTAGTAACTCAGTGTAAAGCATCCTGGACCCCTGAGACAAGAGGAGGGAAAAGTGAAGAATAACAGCCATCAACATACAGCAGAGGAGGATGCTCTTTGCTTTGGCTTTTTTAAGGGTTGTTGAAATGATTTTAATATCTGGGCCTGTATTTATGTAATTTTATAATTGCTAATAGTGGATTTTTGTGAGAGATACAATTAAAAATCTTTCACCTTTATTCACAACCTTAAGAGTAAAAGCTATTTATCAGATTTGCTATGACTTAAAAATGCTCTTGAAATTAACAGAGCTCAAATGTTTAACAGTAGATCCTAGATAATGTTCTTCTTCCTACTGGCAAAAGCTTTAGCGCAAAAAATATCGACATAAATACCTGAAGCAATATCGTTTAGCCTATTATTTGCATTTGATTTGAACATTTGATAGGATATAACACCACTTTTTTATATTATCAAGGGTGAAACAACAAAAGTAAAGCTGCTCTTTTACAACATTTTTAGTAAAAGTTTTTTTAATTGTATTTTTCAAACTTCATTTTATTTCATTTCTTCATGTAAATTGGCTCTATAGACCTTTGTTAAGTAATTCTTAGATGGTTGATAAATATGGGCTGGTTTGTTATATATATGCATTACTGAGTTTGTCTGGCACTTCTAAGAAATGTATAATAGACACCAAATCAGAAAAAGATGTTAGATATACAGTTATATTCTATCTCATGTATCAGTGCTTGCATGGTGGAAGAGGTATTCTGCATGCATTACTGGAATTAAGTACCAGAATTAAAACATAACAATAATTATCTCCAGTATAGATAAAAGTCCAGCATTCATAATCTTACTTTTGTAAAAGTAAAATGTCAGAAGTAGCTGCTAAAGCTGCTGTTAGCGTGCTGTTAGTGTGCCATGGAACGGGGCTCAGCAGCCTCCCAGTGAACACAACCTCAGAGACAAACGGTGGCCAGTTTGACGACAGCGGTACCGAGGTGGTTTATGGAGATGGATCTCTTGCTAGAAGAAGCTAACTGTCACTATTGGCTACCGTGACTAGTCCCTCCCTGGCTGTTTTTAAACAGCAAATATGTATATATGTGGAAGCAAATAACACTGTGATTTCCTTGCATGTGGAGTTTAAGACTATTATATGGAAATTGTACTTTTTTGTGGAAAAAACATATCAGACACACATTATTGTTTGAAGCATATTATTGTATATACACTCTAAAAACAAATGTCTAAAAAATAATAATAACGCAGCAGTTTGCATCAATCTTTTTGAGTTATGGCAAGTTCTAATAAAATTATGTTCATCAAATGTACGACATTGAGTAACTGAAATTAGCTTTTCCTCCACAATCAAAGGTATTTTTAATTACTACTTACTTAATTATTGATAGCATAAACACAAGTTTTTAAGTTGATTAGGCTACTTAAATTATTTTTTTTTCCAGGTTCTTTGTGTCAATTGTTTCTTGCAACCATGCAGTTGCACCACCAAGTGGTGACAAAAGGTCCACTGAACTACTTTTTGTGTCTATGTCTTAATACAAGTCCAGAAAATTAAACAGTTTGACAGAGAAGGTGGAAAAATCCCTCAAAGAAAGATGTAAGAGATCGGGGGACAAAGGAAAGTGAGGTAGAGAGCAGGCTATCTAATCTTGATCAAAGAAAAAAACACTCATTCCTACACCAAAGCTTACCTGTAAACTATCTAAAATTAATAGAAAAATCATTTCAGAAACTAGAATGCAATAATAAGGAAAAATACATGGGAAACCTACAGAGAAACTGCACTGATGTTAATCAGTAACATTCTGCACAATTTTACTGGAATACTTCCTTGTACCTTAGCCAGTGCCTATCTGCACTAGCATCAGCTTAGTTCAAACACTTTATCAGAGGAGCTTTATAAATCCTCAGCATTCACACTGCTTACCTTTTGTTCCTGAATGAAAGGCTGTTGAGAGTTCAGTCAGAGTCTGACTGTGATTGCTGCTGCCGTCCACACTGTGCCACCGGGGAAGTGACAGTGAGTGAAACCAGCCTCTTACATGAGTCTCCACCCTGCTGCTACAAGGAAGTCCTCGATCCACATTCCCTACACAGGACCCACACAGGAATTCACCTGTCCATGTGGCACGTACGCAGGACAATTACAACATACATGAGTCACAGGTGATTTCATTCAGCCCGTTTGACCTGATAGCCCCATCAGGATAGATTTTATCTAATTCTCAGTTATTATTATTCATTATTATTATTATTAACTAGTTTATCTTGATTTAATTTCTTGTTTGAGGATTTACTGCAGTCATTCACATCAAGTCAGGTAAACCGTGAATTAGAGAAAAATGTAGAAAACTAATTTCTGGCCCTCTGTTGTCCTTGTCCTGTTCCTTGACTGGAAATGAAGCCTATTCTAGCACTCCATGACTGTGAAATCCTGTATTATTTGAGTGGTAACAATAGAGGTTAAGGTTTCTGTACCAGGTAAAGTTATAGTAACATCATACTGTGCTGTAGGAAGTTATTTATCCTCTAATAGAATTACTGTCAAGTTTGGAATGGGATCTTTTCAGACTTACCATTGACCTCACTTTACAAGGAATCTTTCAGAGAAGGAAGTCCACAAATAAATGACTCTGCTTTCCAGAAGTCACAGCTTTTCAAACATTAAGTTAGAGGTGGAAAGTAAGGACTGTACTTCAGTACAATTTTTTTTGCTTCTACTCCATCTCAGAGGAAAATATTATAATTTTTTTTTATGTTGCTTTGTAGATTCAAATTCAACAAATAAATGATGATGTATTTTTACAGTTAAAGATAAACCTTTAATTGGTCCTCAGGGGAAATTCATTCCTGTAGTTTCCTCTATGTTAGTTTCACTAGGTTTAGGGGTGCTGTGCTCTTTGTGTTTTGTAGTATCAAGAGAGGGTTTTTTGTCTCCTCAAGTTTATTTAATTTTAATATATTATTTAATGTTTATTTTTATTTTTTATTTTATTTATTTAATTTATTTATAACACACACATGCTTACTATTTTATTTATTTAATTATTTTAACATTATTTCATTTCTAACACACATGCTTACTACTTGTTTTAATTGACATTTTTAGTTGATCCACAAACTGATTGATTCATTGATTACCTGATCATTCATTGTAATTTAATTACTTATTGACTGAGATTGATGATTGTGACGTTGATTGATCAATCATATTACAGTATTACCAACAGTATAGATTATAATTAATTTATTATAAATATTGTTTCCTTTATGTATTATTATTATTTTAATTCCAAACGCTTGCTTGCAATAGTACAGTTGTTACCTCATGCCAATAAAGCCATTTGAATTTGAAAAGGGGGTCAGAACACATCAGGCAGAGCAGTTTGTTGTATGGGGCTGCACAATCATTCTGACCACCAGGGTACACAGGGGTCACAATGTTATTGCTGATTGGTGTAGATCTTATGTATGCGTAGTCTTAATATACTATAGTAAATACCACAGTAAATTATACTTTACATACATTACATATGAAAAAGGATATAATGAATTATAACTAAAAGGTAGAAAAATAAAATAAAGGAGGTGCAAATACAAATTCCAGACTAACCATTTACAATTTCCAAATAAAAGCACAGAAATATACAAAATCAATGAAAAAAGGAAACACTGAATGGGGCTGGATAATGAGGTGATCTTAGTGTATAGAAAGGCGAAAAGAAAAAAATTAATTGAAATGAATTAATGATGGTCATAAAGCAGTGAATAGTAATCATAAGTGTAAATAGTAAATGGATCCTGTACTTGTTATAGCGCCTTTCTAGTATTCTGACCAGCTCCAAAGCGCTTTTACACTACGTGCACATTCACCCTTTCACACACATTCACTCAAGTGATGGCAAAGATCCATCGAACAAAACTACTCATCATACACATTCACACACCGATGCTGTTGCATTGGAGCAATTTGGGTTCATGTATCTTGCTCAAGGACCTACTTCGACACGGGCAGGAGGAGCCGGATCGAACAAAACAATCCGATTGGGGGACGACCCGCTCTGCCTCTGAGCCACAGCCGCAACTAGGGCCCCCAATAATCCTAGTTACTTTACATGTCAATATTTCACATAACGTGTAACATAAAATGTATAAACAGCCTATAAGCCTTATGTTTACAAAATTCAATAATTCAAATAAATGATAAAATATGATGAATAAATACCCAATTTCCAAACAGCATGCAAAATGTATTTATGGAAATTAAAACTTGAATAGTAATAATATTCTAGTAATAAAGACTGACAGGATCTTATTTAGCATAATGATACCTTTTATGCCGCTGATTATAAATTGGTTGGTGATACTTATATTTTACATTTTTGATTAATGATTTGATTTATTCGCAAATGAGTATTCCATTATTATACTGCTCCTTTACTTGAATTAACCAAATGAATCCTTTTTTCACTGCTGGCAGTCTGGCTGTTTAGTGTTCCTTGGTGTTTCCACAGTGGGGCAGCCACACTGTGGCTTTAGTGGCTTCACATTAAAACACAACCTGTGCAGCAGGTATCCAGTAGTTACATCAGGAAAGACCATTTGATCCAACTGCATCACTTTGGAGAAGAGGTGAAAGAATTACAAAAACAAAAGACAAAAGAGCATTACAGAATGTTACGACCCGGCTCGGAAGGGGAAAGGGAAGCAACAAAACCAGTTGGTTTTTGGTTAGTATAAAGTTATTTATTAAACACAGAGATTTTTAACCAAAAGAATAAATCCAACAGAAACGGGCAAGTGGGTGCTCCGTAAACAAATTGAAAACATGTTATAACAAAGGAGATCTCTAAAATGAGATTTATTGACATAAACTAAAACAAAACACATT